AGAGCAATTCATGTGACTGCGCTCCGACGACGTGCAAAAAAGACGTCCCGTCGGGGGAACATGCGGTGACGGGCACAGCTAAAAAGCAAGCGGGTTGCCGCCCCCTCCCCCCCCCCCCCTCAACCCGCAAAAAACAAACAAAAAAACAACAACAAAATAATAATGAAAACAATACTGTTCTTCCTATGTTGGTAAACAACGTTGTTTGTTTTGCCAGACGCATAGTAAAAATATTAGAGGCCTCGGCACATTCTATGCTTGCAATATTTCAGTTCGGAAAGAAAATACTTGTCATTTTGCAAAAACTTTTAAAAGCCAAGGTGTTCTGCCAAAGTCTCATACCAACCGCAAGCTTATGTGAGTCTGCCTTCTTTAAGGTCAATGGAACTGTTCTATGTTGGTGAAAGCTCCAAGTTCTCGCCTAGCTCTGACCCGAATTGAACACTTATTTCCTAATTTTTCGTCATCTGCAGAACGTTCACGCATTTGAATAAAAACAAAATAAAATAAAACAACTTAGTGATGTAGAAACTGTCAAGAGATTGTGGGTTTTTACACTGATCAGTATTTTTAAGTATATAGTTTTAAGTGTGGGAAGCACTTTAGGTACCTTGTACTTTAAGTACTACTTCAAGTAGGTTTCAAAAACTTGTACTTTACTTAAAGTACATTCTCTGAGATGCTCTTGTACTTAAAGTACTTTTGTTGTACTTTCCGAGGAAAGTACAACACTCGACTTCAAAGTACATACCCTGAATTTTGTCTTGCTAAATTTGTATCCCAAAATAATGCTTTGTCGACTCTGGAGCAATACTGGGAGGGATATTCAACTCTCACCAGGCACGCGAGCAGACGACGCATCGCTCCAAGAGGAGCGAAGTGTCATATCGTCCAAACGACGTATATCGTAACGGCGTAAATGGGTTATCTTCGTGTGAAAACCCGCTATCGTCTTTCGAGACGTCATCTGGCCATTTCTCTCAGTCACGTAATGGCGGCTGCAATACCGACAACAAGTAGATCATAATGTAATTAAATGTAAAGGTGCAAGCGAGCTGAACAAGAATGATGAAAATAATCCCTGGAGAAGGGAAACAAGAGGTACAAAGGACAAACATAAATCTCCAAACACAGCTAGGTGACCGGTGAGCAACCGAAAAAATCCGCCTGGTCCGGGTATCGAACCCGGGACCTCTCCATTACAGGTGGAGCGCTCTATACCAACTGAGCTAACCAAGGGTTAGACGTCAGTAGAGCAAACGGGTTTTATCAGTGTCCACCAGTCTAACACCAACAAGGGTGAAGCTTGCAAGTTAAGGTTGTAATTATAGTTTCAAATATAAGTCGATTGTGTTAAATAGTTCGTCAGCGAGAGTGAAATAATTACTCTGAGGCCACTTGACTTTATCCAACCGCCATTTCCGAAAATAACTTATTTACCCCCGATTACCCCTGCCGCAGTCTATGTAAATAAGAAAAAACGAAAAAAAAAAAAACAAAAAAAAACGTATAGGGGAATGAAGGGCATCATTAAAGCTTGTGTTAAAAATCACTCGTACGTTACTTTGAAAGTACATTGCATTTATAGTACCTCACTTGAAGTACATTGTGCCCGGTGTACTACTTTACTTGAAGTACAGGGTGTCACAAAAACATTTTACAGTTTTTTTTTTTTTTTTGCCACAAAATAAACTGGGCATCGCTGAACGCTACCTTTCGGCGGAGAATAAGTGCTCGGCGATGCCTAGTTTATTTTTGCGGTGACAAAAACCCTATAAATTTTTTGTGACACCCTGTACATAATCTTTCACTTACTTTGTACTTCAAGCACTTTTTAGATGTGCTTTACCCAACACTGACCTTTTTGTTTCTGCTGTGCGTGTGGCAAAGAAAGTAATGAGACTGGCAACACTGTGCACGATCCGACAATGCTGCTGCTTCCCCCTTCACATGCCAGTTAGGCTGATCTCTCTACTCAATGCAACGCCTCTATTCAATTCACTCCGTACAACTTTGAACTTGCTACACTTGTTACGCGATCGTTGAGAACATCTCAAGTAAAGTTGTGTTTGTGAGGGTGCGTTACTAAAATAGACCGGCAAAATTGTGAGCAACGTTGTGCCATCAAATCGAAAATCAAATCAATGCTCATTGGTTTTTGTTTTTTTACAGTCAGGGCATCGCCCACAAAGAATTGGTGCCTCCAAGACAAACTGTCAATAAAAAAAAAAAAATTTATTGGGAAGCTTTTGAAGGGCTCAGGAACAGGGTGGCACTTGTGTGACAAGGCTTTTGCACGCACTTGGATGCTGCACCACGACAATGCGCCATGTCACACGGCAATCTTCATCAATGGATTTCTGGCAGAAAAAGGGATTCCTGTGGTTCCGTAGCCCAGCCCCCAGCCCCCCCCCCCCCCCCCCCCCCCCTATTCGCCGGATCTGAGTCTTTTTGACTTCTTTTTATTCCCCCGACACAAAGACCACTTGAAAGGGCACCATTTCGGTACTTTGGATAATATCCAGAAGAGCGTAACCGACGAGCTGACGAACAATGGAAACAGCGCCTCTGTCGATGTGTAGTTGCCCAAGGGAACAACTTTGAAGGGGATAACCTTGATTTGTTAAAAGAATAAAATTCATGGTTAAAAGAAAATCAGTCTCATTACTTTTCTGCCACAGCTCGTATACAACAGGAAAAGCATGCTGCGGTTGGGTGGGCATCATCAATAAACAAACAAAGAATACATCAATTACCGTATACCTTTATCCTACCCTAGGAGGAGCTACAGACTTGCTTATACCCCAACTCATTGACTATAGGCAGAAGTATTGTCATTAGAGCGGTAGGCACCACGCATGCGTAGAGACCCGTTTTGCGGAAAGCGAAGCGCGTGGCGTCCGAAGTGGTTTGTGTACTCAAAGACAATGGTGAGTCATCACTGCCCATTTCGGCTATAGATTATCTGCACCTATGCTGAAGTCTGAAGCCTACAGTTTAAGCAAAAACAGTCACGGGATGTGCGAGATACAGATTCTCAAAGTAACATGCATTTTCTGTTAACCCAATTAATTTATCTAGACAAAGAGAAATAGACCGCTGTGGGTTACTATTTTTGATTATTATTATCATTGTTATATCTCTGACTGCCAACAAAGACGAAATGGTTTGACATCATTACATCCAGCATTTACCGGTGGGGATCAGAAACTCGCCGCCACATTATACAAGTTCTAAAGTGGTTGCTGAGTTCGTCTTTCCATACCGCAAACGCAATCTATGCGCACGGAGAAAGCGCGACCAAATATCGCGACACGCCCCTTTTGAAAGGGGCAAGTTGCAATGTTGATAGTGTTTTAACAAAAAAAAAAAAACAAAAAAAAAGTCATTCATGACAAAAAAAAATTATATTACTATTTAGGACGCTTAGAGCGAGTGGAGATTAAGCTATCGCCATAAAAAAAGACGAGATCAAACTACCCCGCATAAAGCTTCAAACGCGATTTTTATTTCAAGCGAGCAATCGACTCTCACTACTGCTCCGACAAAATCAGATGATGAAAGTAATCCCTGGAGAAGGGGAACAAGAGGGACAAGGGACAAACATAAATCTCCAAACACAGCCAGGTGACTGGTGAGCGACCGAAAAAATCCGCCTGGTCCGGGTATCGAACCCGGGACCTCTCCATTACAAGTGGAACCCGGGACCTCTCCATTACAAGTCCACTTGTAATGGAGAGGTCCCGGGTTCGATACCCGGACCAGGCGGATTTTTTCGGTCGCTCACCAGTCACCTGGCTGTGTTTGGAGATTTATGTTTGTCCCTTGTCCCCCTTGTTCCCCTTCTCCAGGGATTATTTTCATCATTATTGTCCAGCTCGCTTGCCCCTTTGCATTTTAATTGCAATATAATTATGACAAAATCAGAGTTGAAAACGAGATGTCTGAAACGTGTTTTTATTCATTTATACTTTAAGTTAGTCCGTTTCATTTGAAACTTTAGGGGGTTAGAAAGTTTTTTAAGATTACACGGTGAACAAATCGGACTACGCAGATTAATATACACATATGAATCATAACACAACACAACACACGATATACAACACACATATTTCAAATAAACAAATAAAATTAAAAAAAATGCAGTGAACACGCGAGTCCCTTTTCTCGTGTTCATTCTTGGTCTCAAATTTTTCATGTATGTAAAATATCACCCTCTGTTTTCAAATTTGAAACGCTTTCATCACCTCGAGTCCACGATCCGCCTTACAAAAGGACATTTGCCACTAATGACAGCAGAAACGAAAAAGAAAAAATTGTTTTGACTGTTTTTTTTTTTTCTTTCTCTCGTTTACACACGCCCGTACATCATTCAAGGCTGCGGCGGGGTCAAGTTAGCAACCATATGTGTAACTGATTTTCCAAGACACTCAAACGTGCCCATCGTGCACATTGTGATTTTCCCAATGATGTGCACACCAGATATTAAAGTTTTTATCATTATTATTATTATTATTATAATTAATTAAATTTAAGACGACCTTCTGAACATACAGATTTTGTAGGCTGAATATTTCCGATTTCACACCGCTTAATTTAACAATTAGCACGATAAAAAAAAAAAAAGACAGTGAACAAAACTATTCGTGATGATGTGTAAACTCCACTTCGATGATCAACTCCATAATTAATTTAAATTAAACATAACGCAAAAAAAAATTTAAAAATCCGTTTGGTGATAAATAAGGTACTTAAGAAATCAGCAAAAAATAATCAAAATCGCCGATCTTTCTTTAATAGCGAACCGCCAACGAAACAGCGAGCACATCAGATCACAACCGGCGAGAGCAGCACAGCGTGCATCTTTGGAGTGCACTAACCTTTTCCCGCTGGGATCGAAGAGTCGACGGGCGGGACTGAGTCCACGCACGATCAGACGCAAAACGAGCGGCTCGTACGCTTCGCATTTCCGCAAACCGATAAGAGATGAATGCACTCACCCAATCCCAGAAAAGACCGCATATTGTAATCCACTCGAGGCGGCATCGGAGGCTTTTTGCCGAAGCCCAAATGCTTCAGGATCTTGGACATGATGATGGGATGTCACCGTCCCTAGCGCCCCAGTGTCCGGCTGATTTTTTAAACGGCTAAGCCTACGGTGCACAGACTTCCTACGCGTTCAAAGCGGAGACGGGGCCATGGGAGAAGACTGGAGAGCGCACAGAACCCGTCCGCAACGACGGTATGTTGCCCCGTGTTTTTACGCTGATTAAAAACACGGACGGGGCGACGGATCCGACGCTGGGATGGTCGCGGATACACCGATACACAGCTGGGATGTTACCCGATTTGGCCGCTTGGGACGCGATGGGTGGGATGCTGTTTTTATGGTGTGATGGGTCGCTCATAGATGGCGCTGCACGCCTTGAAAGAGTGTAGTGTTAGATACGTTCACCAGGTAACGCGAGTTACCGCATAATTTGGATATTCGAAATGTAGGCAGAGAAAAATGTTTTGTTGCCATTGTTTACATTTAAAATCCTATATACAGTCTGGCAGACAAATTTAGGTGGCTTCTATTGTTTGAGACTATTGAGTCTATTGAGACTTATTACACTATCCAAAGGTGGCGCCACCCGCCAAAACATGCGCAATGCGCGCAATGAGCGAATGAAGACATGAAGGTGCGCGGAGGATCGTAAGCGTACACAGTGCGTGAGAGCTGGGGTTTCAAACTTATTTTCATTAGTCGAGATGGACGACCTTTTAGACAGCCTGTCATCGGACCTCCGAGTTTCGACGGACGCGAACAGCACTGCCGCGCAGCATCCGAGGTTTGCCTCGTACAAAGTCAAATACAGCGCCTCTTCGCAGTCGGAAAGACGCCGAGAATTCATCGAGAAACAAAAACAGTGAGTGCTCACCAACAATTTGTCGTTTTTTTCCTCTGCATGCACCATCTTGAATGCAAATCAAAGTGTGCTCTGAACCCCCGCAACCAACTCGAAAGTGATGTCTTTGAGTTCTCTATTAAAGTCACGTTTGCATAGTGCCACTGATTGTAAAGCTTCTTGACATGACTCGTGTTCTAAAGACTGTTTTCTTTTTTTTTTTTCTTTTTTTTTTTCTTTACCTTGTTGGATGTTTTTTTCCTGAGTTGATGCATGCTTCTTGCATGCACCTGCGCATTTTTTCCCGTTAATCTCGATGCGAGTCAAAATTGCACTTTGCACCGAGCTTCAACTAAAATTTTTGATCAGGGGAAATAGTTCGAAACCCAAAAGCACAAAATGTGCATTGTGTGCAAATGTCCGGGCATATGGGCAGACAAGTACGAAATGCACAATCTGTGTCTCTTTTCTTTAATGCCATCGTGCAGATTCATTCCTCTGGGATTGCTGGCAAAATAGAAATGTTGATCCTTGTTAATCAGAATAGAAATTTTGAGTGTATCCTTGATTTTCTTTTTATTATTAAGTGTATTGATTGTTTTCTAGTATTCTCATATGTTGTTCACTGTGCACTAGTTCCTATTGGAACGATTTATGTAACCCCCCTATGTAATACCCTCTCACGAGGGCCTTTAGGGGTAATATGAATAAATAAATAAATAAATATAAACCTTTGCTTTGTGTCAAACCTGTTTTTTCAAGTGTCCAGGGCTGTCACCAAAAGCATCGAATTGAAAAAAAAAAAAAAAAACACTGGCTAGGTGGCACAAGCTGCCTCCCGGTTTAAAGAGCTCAGCCTCATGCATCTATCCTTTGTCGAAGGTGCTGGATGTGGTTTTGAATATCCAGCACTTTAAAATTGTCACCCTTTTACTTTTTTAAAGTTCTGAGCAGAAAGGAAGCTTCTAGCTAAAACCAATTTTGTTGTGTGCACACACTATGACATATAATATGCTTGACATTTTTTATGCCCACCGTACACTCGTGTTCCAGACGAGGGTGAACACGCAAACGTCAACCAATCAGTACTGCAAGCACCTACTAGCAGCGTCTGGGCAGTAAAAAGGATTTCCCCATTGCAATACTGTGTACCATCCCCATTCTTGGATTCAAATGCCGCTTCAGGGAGATTTTAAAACGACAGATTCTACTGTTGTAGGTTCCGTTTTTCGAAGTGCCCGGAAGCAAGGTTGTAAAATCAGTGCCGTGTTCAAAAACAGATAATGCACGGCTCAAGATCGGAAAAATGGAGCACTTGGTCCCCGGCTCAAGATCGGAAAAATGGAGCACTTGGTCCCCATCTCACTGATTGTGTAATCTTTATAAACATATGAAGCACCCGTCTGATCATATCCAGACTGACATCTAAAAGGGGGTTGTATGGTAACGGTGCATTAGCTATTTTTTTAGAAGTGACGCTTCAAAGTGCTTGCAGTACTGATTGGTCAACACTTGCGTTTTCACCCTCATGTTAAACACGACTGTACCGAAGTTGTAACGACGCCTTGAGAACAAAGTTTTATTTTTCAGACATGTCTCATGGCCATAAATATTGGAGTAACTTTAAGAGAAGTAAACTTGCAACCTTTGCTATTGGTGAAAGGCGGGCAACTCACACTTATATCAATATGAAAAAAAAAGTTGTGTCCAATTTAAGACACATACATGCCCTGGAAAGTGGAGTGCTCAATCGTCATCGGCAGAAATTATTGTTCGAGGGGTCTCGCATTTTTTCGCAAAGGGAATCAGAACGAAAAACTCTGTCCTTGGAACACAGCATTTCGAGATCACTGTGGTCGAACTAGCACAAATGTGACCTGCAGCATATAATTCATCTTCATACTTATTCGTCTTTACATTATCTGAAATGTTCGCAGAAGGGGCACACCATTATTAATCCCTAACCCACCAAATTCACTATTGTTGGGAACAAAAAAAAACAATTGTATCTTAGTTCAATGGATCAAATGCCTAGTTTGTGTTGAGCTGCGCTCATTGTTCTTGCCTGAATCTTTGTCTCGATTTATTGTTTAGGTCCAAAATTCAGTGGGAAGCATTTTTCCGCTAAATTTAGCGGGGTAATTGAATTAGTGTATAATTACACACCAGTCCAGGTATTCCCACAAAACTTAGCGAAAAAATTACGCTTTCCCGTTACTATCTTTTGGTAACCCGATGCCCAATGCACGTTTTTTGTAAAATATATTTCGGGCGCACGAAAGGGTAACCGAAACCAGATCAGACATTGTTTTATGGTTCCTTCGTCTAAGCTGTGAATCCCGTTTCCAGGCGTAGATTCGACTTCCAGCAACATGCACGTAACTTGGCAGACGGGTTCGGGAGTTGCACCGGCAGTAGTACCAAGAGGGACCCCGAAGAGAAGATGGATTGCAGCGTCCAGAAACCCAGGAGGAATACAGACAGGCTGTACAGAAACCAGGTCAGTCGGTGTCTCGAGTCTCAATGGACTGCCTCGGTTTTCTGCAGGGAAGACAATCCTCTCTGCGTTCTGCTGCATAATGGGTCTGATCATCTCTAAATGGCGTAACCGAGCTGGAAATTCATAAGCTTAAATTTCGTCTTAAATAGTTTGTTGCAGTGTGTGTGGTATGCAAGAGAGATGTAGTGAGAATAAATCACTTAAGGCCCGTTCACATAGATGTGACCGAGTACGACCGAGAGAGACCAGACCGGTTTTTAAGCCTCTTGCGACGTCTTAGGAGCTGCTCCGCTGTAGCGCATCCGGTCCTAAGACGTCGCAAGAGGCCTAAAAACCGGTCTGGCCTCCCTCGGTCGTACTGAGTCGCATATATGTGAACAACGCTTTACACTGCAGCCGCCCTGTTCCACTCAAACATGGTACCAATAATCCACTAACCTGGTTTGCTCCATTCTGTCGATGGATCTTCCAGCGACGTAATGGTTCGGCTCTTTGAACCAAGATGGGCCACACTGTTTACCTTGGTAAATTCTGCTACATTTCGCTAAGATGTCAGGAATAGGTACCAACGTTGCATCATCAGTTAATTTCACCTTCTGATTACTGAAACTTATTGCTCACGCCCCACTCACTGCCGGGTTGTTACCGTAGGTTTGAGAAAATCTTAATAAGAAACAAATTTTGTGGCGGCAATCTTGTTGCTGTGTCTAGTACCATTAATACAGGATAATGCATAAAAATCCCCTCCGAAATTAAATCCTGATACCCTAAAGGCCAGTTCACACATATATTGCAGCTCTATATCAACACTAAAGGCAGCAGTGATGCAATGCTAACTTGAACATAACTTAGCACTGCAGCTTTATCACTGCTGCAGCACTACATAGTGCAAGTTGGCACTATGCCAGCAGGGTCGGCACTATTTCCTACACAGACTCATAGCATTGAAATAGCACTGCAGTGTGTGTTTGTGAAGAGGCCTTAGGCATCGCAACTATCGGGACTGCACGTGATTTTGGTTCTTTCTTTCGTCGTTCAGCTCATGCTGTCCGAGTGGCTGGTGGAGTACCCTGAACAGTTTGAAGAGGACTGGGTGATGAAGCTGTGCCCTGTTGGAAAGCGCTGTCTTGTCATCTCCTCTAAGGTCGGTTCAGCACTCACAAATTCGTTCTGCGTGTGCGGTACACTTTGCTTCGCGTTTGCTATACTCGGCATTAAACTTTTTTGCGCTACATTGTAAAGGCTGGCACGGTGTTGCAGCTCTGCACTGCTGTGAGAGCATGTGGCTTCCTCTTATACCTCGTTCACACGCACTTTCATGCCGCGTTCACGTCAGTAGGTTGGACAGCGTTGGAGCAACATGTAAACTGAGCTAGCCTCGAAAATGTTGTGCGCTAAAGTTGGTGCCGAACATACTCCTGACAGCACTCACACTGATCCGTCAAGAGTCTCAGAACTCACTCAATGATCTCATACTCATATTTTCCAGGTTTTCGAAGTATGTCAAAATGCTCAGAATTCGCTCATAAACATCCGAGACCACTGATATAAGTCTAATACTAAGAGTTTCATAACCCATTCGGCGGTTCTCTGCACTCTACCCCTTGTAACGTGCAGGGTTCTCACAATGTTTTTACGATGCCCCGAATGTTCTCCTATGCATCTGACAAGCATTCACATGAGCCTGATGATGGTTTCATAACCCATTTGGCTGTCTCGTTGCACTCATTACATGATCTAGTGTTCTCACAATGTACTGCAGCATCTGGTAAGCTGAACAATACAATGCAGGGCTCAACCAAAGCGTATGCCAGGAACGGCTATCACATGGCCACCTTTTCTTCGCTGCTTCCGGGAGGCAGCAAAGGCGTCGAGGGAAAATTCTCAGGTAATGCAACATTGGGATTTTTCTCCGCGTCTCTTTTTTAGATGAAACTTAATTATGAGTAGACCGTGATAATGTGTAAGGAGCTTCTACTGTTATGCAGTTAGGTGTGGTATGGTAGCTGAGTAAATGGCCCAAATTTTGCTCGCTGCATTTCAAGGGGGCTTTGCGGGCTTTCCAGCCTTGCAAAAAGCCGCGTTGATGGCGCTTCAGCTTCATAAGTAGTGCCGTTGACGCAGTCGTAGCACTAAGTCACGGAGACGAGCCATTAGTAATGCTACATTGCATGCAGGCTATGTTACTTTTGAAATGTTTCAAAGGAGAGTTAGTACTGAGCATACAAGTGGGTGATGACATTGAATTTTACAGGAGCAAAGTAGCCGAAACTTCATCAATTCATCATGTTTCGAAACTTCCAAGTGGCTGAAGAGAGAGAGATATTTTCTCCAATATTTTGTGTTGTGTTTCATGTTTCGGTGCCTGTTAAAGACGAGCCGAAGAGCGTAATCTGTATTATCGAAAGTGATCATAAAAAAATGGAAGCGTGGAATGTTTCAAAATGAAGACTGACGTTCCTTTCTGGATGCTAGACCCCTACTCCAGAAATCGCTGGTTAGGTGACTCGTAACATGCCGTCAACATGCTACGCCCGTGAACACGCACAGTCGGTTCCTGGTGCGGGACTTTGGCAGTGGACCAACCGGCCCACCTTACCCACCTTCCAGGCCACAGAATGCAACAGACGCTCGCAACATCCGTTCCGTTAGAATGGAATCTTGAGTTTTAGAAAATAGGATGATTTAATGGTCCGTTCTCGTGCCCCCGTCTTTGGCTACATTTCACGGAAAAGTGTCTAATACATTTCCTTTATACATTTTCCTGCATTACTCTCGCAAGTTTTAACAGGAATGCTTTGAGATAGTTTGGATCCCGGTATTATGAGTGCCTGTACGTTAGCTCGTACCCGTTATTTCTCCCTTCGCAGATTACTGCCTTCTCGACTGCATCTACTCCGAGCTACAAAAGGTATATCACGTCCTGGACCTGATGTGCTGGAAGTCGCACCCAATCTTTGACAGCGAGGTGAGAAGCACTCCATTTCTCCTACTCTTTTTACTTTTTTAAAGTATTCTTTCTCGTGGAAGGGATCGGTCGCTCGACATTTGACCAGTAGTGTACTGGCCATTGCTTTCCCGCACAGCCTTTCAACCGAGGCGGTTACCATAGTTTCTTTCAGTCAAGCGGACCGAAACGTCGGGTTGAGCTCTAGTCGCAGTTAATTAGAGGTGCTTGCGAGTGCTATTCAGTCATCGAGGAAACCATATAAATGAGCCAATGGACATGGTGCAACGACATGTTGCACTAATGCGTGGGCAACGGTGGGCTCTCAATTTGGGTTCCACGAGCTAAGAAATTTTCCTGACTGTCCCTGTTTTTAAGCAAGGTAGCTTTAAATGGTGCATTTATTGTACGGAAGTTTCGTAAGTTTAGGCTTTTGGAACAAAATGCAAGATGAGAAAAACATGCTGTTCCCCATGCACAACAAGAAAAACACGAACTACCTGTCTGGAGGTCGAGACATTCAAAAAGGGATGCTTGCAGCCACAGGAAGCTCAAGGGTTCAAGAGAATCGCAGGACAAATGCAGCCCGCACAATTGAGACCTTGGGCGTTTTGTTCGTTGAAGAAAACACAAACAAGTCCTTTGCGGTGTCCAGTGCAGTTTCCGTCTCGGCGGCACTCTACCATTCGGCACGGAGAGTGGTGCAACAATTCCTAGAAATCGTCACTGTTCGGACCGCAGCATGTTTGTTGACATTAATATATTCGATCGACAAAAAACATTTCCGAAGGCTGGATGTTTCTTCAAGTTCAGCTCTGTTGACCGCTGTCTGGCCACACTCACACTCTTTCTTTCTTCAAGTGTGTTCAAACCAGGTGGTTTGTACACACTCAAAGAAGGAAAAACAGTTTTCCAAACGTCCCTGATTTAAAGCTCCTACTATTCAAATTCCTCTGATCATCTTTAATTTTTCGGTGAAAAATATTTTTAAGCACATTTAGTTACCAAATGGTGCCTATAATGCCTGGTTTCTCCCTATGAAGTTTGTGTCCATCCATTGTATACCGTATCTTCACGCATATTACCCGCCCCTGCACGTAACTCGCACCTCCAACTTAGTACTTTCAGAAAAACAAAAAAATACCTCTCCTATTACCTGCACTAACCGTGCAAAGCATTCTCCAGATCCCGTTAGAAACCATTCCTTTATTTTGAACACACTCATCGCTGCAGTCACTGCAGCTATCTTAGATGACTGTCGCGGGGGGCGTCGTAATCCGTGCCATCAAGATGATTGCTGATGCAGCGCTTTTTGAAACTGTTCCGCATCATCTCGTCTGGAAAGGTCGCTGCCACGCCGGATCTGTATCGGTATGGCATGACCATGACCTCTTCTCTCCTCGATGACCTCCGCGAGCTGTCGTCTGTAAAGGTCGTGGTCACACCGGATCTGTATCGATACGGCGTGACCGCGACCTCTTCTGTCCTCTATGAACTTCACGAGCGCTTTTCAAGTTCGAGGTAGGCACCAGTCTTGGGACCATGGAATTATCTTCAATCGTGGCTTGCGGTTTGCACGCTCGCCTTCTTCCTCCATTCTCGCACACACAATTCATCAGCATCGTAGCAGTCGTAGTTCCTTTCGGCCTGGCGCTCGGTTTCCGATCTCCTGGGCAACGGATCTGACCATAGTCGGATTCTTTTCTGAAGAATCAGAAACCGCAGAGATTGTTGCCACCGACGGCAAGGCGCATTCGACTGCAACGGCACACGACGCTCCGCACGTTGTCGAAGCGACGGCTCGGCTCGGCTGCTCAGCCCGCCAAGGCATTGCAAAAATGGCTACCCAAATAAAGGAGAAGAAGGTAGGGAGAAGAAAGCTTTTATACTCCATCTCATTCTACAATGCCCAATGCTACAGACCACCAGGTCCACTCTCGAGTCTGTCAAAAACCACATTGTATATTTGCTCTGCCTTAGGTATCAGTGCGCGAAGACTCGTCATGTAGAGGCGAGTTTTTCGTCTGCTTATCGAGCCCTTCCATTGGCTCCGTCTGCTTCCTACTGCTACTGAAGACTACTGTACTGAGGGGATTAAATACCGTCTGGAAGCGACGTGGCAAAGAGATCCCGGGATCAGAACCAGTGGCCACTAAGAAACAAAGATTAGTTGGATCGAGCGTTTGACACAGGAGCGTATGTACGGACCGCGTGTGGAAAGGAGGTTCTAGGCGGTCTGGGTACGCACATCAAGATTGGAATGGATCGGATTGTTATGGCTAAGGTGAAACGACTTCATGTCGGTGTTGCCCGCAAGTCCTCCAACTTCTCCAAACAGTTGACATGTTTACGCAATATGGCATGAATGTTTACAAAACTAAATACCATGCATCCTCACTTCACCAATATAAAATAGCGCGCCATCACAACAGAGAACCAGATGCGCAAGATTAGTGCTCTTCGTACTCTGCATATCGGAATTTCTCTCGCGCACTCTTTTGCAATGCGGATGCAAGCTTTTCTGAGGTGGCGCCCCACCCACCAACCTTCGAGCCTTAGTCCATCAAGGGGTGAGACGGACTGTAGGAGAGACCTGAGAAGCGTGACTCTGGAAAATCTATCCCTGCGACTTTGCACGCATTGCCGTGAAGCTGCACTTCCCGCCTAAATTTGCGTATAACCTGCACCTTTGCCCTTGATATTATATTAGGGGTGTGCAAATACCGAATACTAGTTATCAAATCCAATACCGAATCGAATTAAAAAAAAAAAAAGCCGAATATAGAATTGAATAGTGATTTATTTGTTGGAATTTTTTAAAGTGTGCTGTTAATGAGATTATTATATGTGCAGAGTATGCACCTGGTACAGAATATGCATCTCGTATGGAACAAAAGCTCAAATGTATAAGTTCTGGTGAAAAAAAAATAGAAAAAAAAAAGCAGCTGCTGATGGACGTTGGGCACTGAAGATCCAATTTTATGACGCAAACATAATATATCTGTGTCACAAAATAAACAACCAAAGTTACAGCATCGCGTGCCTTTTTTTCTCGTTAAAAGCACAACCTAACACCGCGACATGTTTTTTTGTTTTTTTTGTATATTTGTATATCTCAGAAAAGGGGCATTTTGCGATATATGGTCTCTATTTTAAGAGAGAAAAAGGGCACCCAGGATTTGATTTTATACAGGGTGCGGCCGTAAAAACTTTCACATTTGGCACGCCTAGCAAAAAATAAATTTCAAACGTACATACCTGAAATTGGGCACACGAACGTCGTTTATTCCAAAGTTTTTTGCCTATTTTTTTTAAGCGTCAACTCTGTAGTAGCGAATTATTAGAAAAATAACAAAAATGACAGACGTGCATTTCCTATGGCCTATACCCGCCCGTTCGCCGTCTGCTATCTAATTCGCGACGCCGCTCCCAGATGGCGCACTGAACGCACAAACGCGGGAAACGCCGCACGAAAGGCTGGTGTCGGGCGAGATAATCGCGATAAAAATTGATTTTACCGAAATATGTGAACAATTATGCCCTTTTACTTGAAATTTAGAAACTGGCGGACGCCCTCGTTTAATAAAAATATGTTCTAAAGCAGACGAACGTGTGTCTTCCTTTGTCGTCTGCTTATCTGTTGGCGGGTCCGTTCCCGGTGAAAGCTCAACTTTGGAATCAAGAGTGCCGCTGCTGAGGCATCTTGATTGTTCCTATTTATTGTTTTTGTTGCACTATCTTCTGCAGTTATTATCAAAATATTTTCCGCGCCGCCCTGCGATGCCGCAATACTCGGCAAGTGAGTGTACCCAGGCAGTCAAGTGGTACGTGGAGCGAAACTCGGTGGCCACAGCACAACGAAAATTTCGCACTGCATTTCATAAACGCCCGCCTTTCACGCCCGACTGTTTTGAGTTGGGCGGATCGTTTTGTGAGTGGAGAAGACTTTGAAAAGAAGAATCCAGTCAGTGAACGTGAGAGCTTGCTGAAAAATGAGGAGCTAATTGAAGCGGTGCGTGCTCTCTTCGAGAGCGACCCGCAATTGTCAACAAGACGAGCAGCTGTAAATAAATGATCTCGTCGCATCATGGTGTCTTCTTGCTTGCATGACGATCTGTCAGAACTTGACTGGAAACAGGTAATTTCAACAATCGTTTATATATTTCGTTCAAATCACTTTTTATCGTGATTATCTCGCCCGACACCAGCTTTTCGTGCGGCGTTTCCCGCGTTGTTGCATTCAGAGCGCCACCTGGGAGCGGCGTCGCAAACCAGATAGCTGACGGCGAACGAGCGGGTATAGGCCATAGGAAATGCACGTCTGCCATTTTTGTTATCTTTCTAATAATTCGCTACTCCAGAGTTGACGTCTGAAAAAAAAAAGGCAAAAAACTTTGGAATATACGACGTTCGTGTGCCCAATTTCAGGTATGTATATTTTAAACTCGATTTTTGCTAGGGGTGCCAAATGTGAAAGTTTTTACGGCCGCACCCTATATAAATAAACAGGTAGCTGTTAAAGGGGCACTGACACCCCAAAGGTCGTATTTATTTTTATTGTCTAAAACGATGCAAGTTGCAGTCATAAACACGCAAAAAAAACCGCATCGCGCAAAAATATTTTCCCGCGCGCGCGCGCGCCTTTTTATTTTTGGCGTTTGATTTTCCCGCCTCTCGCCTCCTCGCTTCTTTTGATCGGTGACGTCAAAAATCAGGAAATTTAGAAGCTTTGTAGGCGACATCTCTATAACATTTAATTACGGCAATCCTAAAACATGTTTTTTAACGCAATTGCGAACGCACTACGGCCCTTCTTTTTGAAATACCAAAAATCGGGAGTTCGTTGTGGTGCCGTCTCCTGGATTTGTATCCTCCAACGGAAAACAGGCGACACCGCTCAAAACCGGTCCGCCGCAACGCCGGGCGCTCGCTCCTTTCCTCCTCGCTTTGGGTCGCCATGGCAACAGCAGGGAGTGGTGAAAGGAAGTCTACTCTCAGGTCTCCGTAATTTTTGACGTCAAGGCACCGGCGCCGATCGCGCGGGAACTTCGAATTCGGCATTTGGAAATTGTTTTTTTACTTCATGAATACTGAATTCCCAAATCTCAAATTTTGAGGGTAATGTCCCGGCATCGTTTTAAATCGTTTCGGATAATAAAAAAAAATATGATTTTGATGTGTCAGTGCCCCTTTAAATCTGAGTAAACAGGCTTAAACAATATAATCTGAAGTAAGAAAAAAAAATGTGGTTAGGTGGCGCAAGTCACCGTCCAACTGCCGCTATACATTCATTCCTCCGTCCATCTACCTGTTTGAGAGAGCCTAGATTTAAAAGAGGCACCAACCAAAACTGAAACCGCGGAGGCGGCTCCTGCGCAGATTGGTCGTAAGTGCGCATGTGTTGTCGCATGGAAAAAAGGCGAGCAAACGGAAGAGCCACGACGCAAAGTTGGACGACGCCTGCCCTATCAATGCTTTCAACTTCTCGTCACCTTCTCGCAGTTCGTAATCCAAACCAACTTCAAATGCGGCTATCGAATGGTTGGAAACTTTCTCAAATCTAGGCACACTATTTTTCGGTTCCGTTTCGTTCCGAATAAGAATTTGCGGCTTGCGGTTCTAAAAGAACAACGATGACAACTCGGCTGGTTTCGTCGGCGTTATTAAAGTGGTTTCTTTTTGTGATCTTGCAGTCGCCGATTTCTGTTAGTGTCGGCGCTTCAATTTGAAATGAAGGGCTTTACTCGTGAAAAGAATTAGGCAAGGTGCGGAATTCCGGCCTCCTACAATTCCTCCCTGGAAGCGGTGCAAACGGGAAGTTTCAGTTGTGATTCAAGATTAGATTGTGTCACGATCATGAGTAAATCTGCGTGCTATAAAGTTTGCAACGTTCGTTACTTTTCTTTTGTCTAACCTGTGTGTATAATTTTTGTAGAATGGTAGGGCCAATAGGTGTTTCTCGCATGATCTGTCTAACATCACGGCGCTAACGTCGAGAGAAAAAAACGGCTCAATTTTCAGCTCCGTGCCGACGGCACGTTTTTGGCCGAATATATCGAACATTCAAGTGACCAATTACTAGGAATTCGATTCATGAATCCGATTATTCGGGAACTTGCTATTCGATTCGAATTCGTATATTCGAGTATTCTCACACCCCTATTTTACATACATTTTGATGCAGGTTATACACACAAAAATACAGTAACTTGTCTCTCTTTCTCGCTCCTTGAAGGCGGACTTCCGGTTCTACTGGCTCGACGCCAAGCTGGAGGAAATCCCAGAGGTGAAAGAAGCCAGCGAGGAGAACCGGTACCGGTTCATACCCCTTCCACGGTACCCCTGTTCTGCTCAGGGCCTTACAGCTGCCATGAACTCGCCGCTTCCATTCGAAGCTGAGGTAAGTATCAATGTAGGGGGGCCAGACGGGCACAGCTTTCTTTCACTTTGGGCAACATTAATTTTGGTGCTTGTACATAGGAACACTTTTTGTTGTTATTAGAGAGTTTTAGCAGATTGTTTTTTCGCCCCGATAACGACCCCCGATAACAATACGATGCATGCCCAAGGCCGCCGGAGGGGAGAGAACCTATTGTTATTGGGGTGAAAAAACGATCTGCTAAAACTCTCTATTGTTGTCATTTGTTTTAACTCGTGTGAGCTCCTCCTAAATTAAAAAAAGCATTTAACTTTTTTTTTTGTGAAATGTATTTATTTTTATTTCCTTAGATAATGCTCTTAAAGGGCAACTCCAGTTCATTTTACATGTTAGGAAAACAATGCAATTCTCTTTAGTATTGCCTAAAATGGCTGCACGCAAAATAGTTTGATCTAATTCTGCCTAAACGTTGAGGAAACCGGCAAACAAACTTTGAGGTGCGCGAAATTGCCGAAATTTGGGAATCCTAGCGGGCGAGGTGTGGCAAAGCCAATGGCGCAGTAAATGCCACCGTGTCGGCACAGCCCACCCTGCGCTACCTGCGTCACATTCAGGGCTCTCGGAGAGATTTGTTTGCTTGTTTTGTACTTTTTTAGGCAAAGCCTACAGGCGGTGCTAGCAGTGCACTCATCATTGACCCCATGATGATTCGCATCATGTGCCTGTGTGCTCCCGTGCGAGTGTGCGTCATTGCCAACAGTGTCTGTCGTGTGCGAGAGAGCCAGCTTACAACGTTGAGCACAGCATACTTCAAGAAATCCGTCATGACGTGTTCACGTGCGGTTTATTGGACTTCACTTTCTACTTACGTTTTCAAAACAAGCCCTGGGGAAAACGTGCCTTTTTCTGTGCTAGAACACAAGCTTCAGCCGCGGTAGTGCAGTCATCGTCGGGGGTGGCAGACGACACTTTTGCTCTTGCGCCAAGGTGCGCCCGGCCGTCTGGTGTGCGACGTCGGGCTTTGTATCACGTGGTTGGAGGTGAACTTTAAATGAAGATTGCGAAAAAAATATTACACTTTTGTTTAGAGAGATGACGAACCGTTTACTATTACTACCTCAGGATATATAATCAACCACTAACCCAAATTGTTTGTAATTAACTGGAATTACCCTTTTATCGATGCTTAGGTATTAATAAAAATAAGTAAAGGGTAATAAGGTATATTACCACCAACTGCTTCAGCTATTACTGAATCCGAAGAAGTTTAGCAAAGAGCATGCACTGAGAAGACATTCTTAGAGATCTCCCAAGATTAGAGCTAGTTATGGGATGCAAGGAGGCAGCTATCAAGTCCCTGTTTTGTTCGGCAAAATTGAAGAACATTTTCATTGTTCCCTTCAAAATTTCAAGACACTATTGGTGAATTCCTGGTGGCTTTGTTGTATTATTTCTGAATGAAAAGAAGAAAAGGTTTTCAGAAACAAATTCGGCATTGAAACTGGTATCATTGTTTTTGTTGATGGAATGACAACATCGTTCGTTCTTTTCATTTTGTGTGTTCTTTTTTTTTTATGATTGATTGCTGAAGTTGTCAGACTTCCGGAGCACACCAAACCTTCGAATTAACCAGATCCAGAAGTTAGGCTTCGAATGACCATGCATTTGGTCCCATATCGTAGACATGTACATACAAATGCTGGTAGTGCACCCATGCTTCGAACTGACCGAAAGTTCTAATTAAGCGACTTTGAATTACAAGGAGTCGACCGTAGATGAGAACAAAAAGAAGTATGCTTTATTTGAAAGGAATAAAAAAGGCATTCTAAATGGATGTCATTTTGTAGCATAGCACTTTTGGCACCAGAAAGATCTTCGCTCAAAAAGTACTCGTTGATTACACACGGCGCATGCAATATGCAACTGCCTGCTCTTTCTAAGCTATTTCCCAGACTCGGGCACAAAAGTGCGAAGGGCTGGTCCCATGAATGCATCTAGAATTCGTCTCATGCATCTTACACGTCTAAAAAGCAAAAATGATATACCCTACGTGTTTACTTTCCTGCACAGCTGGACGGTTTGCTGTTCTTTCACAAGAGGGCCCACTACCACCAGGGAGTGACGCCACTGGTCGGCTGGCTCAAGGCCTACATGGTCCCGGAGATACTGCATTTAGACGTGCACCCTGGGTACCTGGAGCAGCGACCGTCCAAACACGAGACGGGACTCAAGGACAAGCTCGAGGCAAACAAGTCACGAACCAGGGGCCGGGTGGAAGCGCAGCAAGAGGCTCGAACTCCGAGACGGAAATCGGGCTCGGAGATGGACGTGTGACTCTTTGGACGGCTTTCATCGTTCTGAAAACGGACTTTGGGCGGGTCGCGCGACGAACGCGAAAGAGACGTGGATCTGTGATCATGGGACTGAATTCTGTTTTGTCATTTTCGTTCATTATTATTCATTTCATTCTTGTTCATATTTCACATTGAAAAGACTTCTAATTTCAGAAGAGTTTTTAAGCATGATATGGGAGAGTTCATAGCAGATGAGACAAAGGCTTTAGAGGAACTACTCACTGGTCTGGAAACTTCGATAGTTTCTGCCCTAGTAAATTTTGTCACTACATGCAGCACTGATCCATGTACAGTTGAACCTCAATTTAACGAAACCCGATTTTACGAGTTTCCCGATTTAACAAATAAATTCGGATTCCCCGCGCAGCCTATCCCGAAGAATGTCTTTCTCGATTTTACGAAGTTCCCGATTTAACGAAATAATTAGAGGGTCCCGGCGACTTTGCTAAATCGAGGTTCAACTGTAGTTGTAAAAAAAGTGGAAAAAAAAAAATATTGAAAAAAGATACTTTTGAAAATTTCTGATATTTGTTTTTACAGCAGATGTAGCACCCTTCACATGGTGTTTCAATTGTTATAATATAACACCTAGGTTTCAAGTATAGATGACACCTCCAACCGTCCATCTTTTTGACAAATCCGTTGGGTTTAATGAAAACGTGGTAGCTGCATTAAACAACTTTGTCCACTGTCGCTTCTTCAAACCCATGTCCACCCGTTAGGCTCTCCGAGCGATCTGATTGGTTGACTCCTAATTTCAGTAGCATGCTTCCGGTGCTTCAATCTGTCCCAAGGGAATACTTTTCTATTGCGCGATGAAAAGGTTCCAGGCCAGGGAATCTTAGGACGGTGGTAAGACTGATTACTAACCGGCCAGAAAAGTGGCAAAACGAGGTAGTGCTCAGCGAGGTTTGGTGACATGAGCAAATGTTTTTGTTTTCAACTTCAGGTTATTTCATGTGATGCAGTGTTTGTAGCAGAAACTCCCTGTGCAGGCTTGATCATTCCCTTTCCTTAGTAGCAATGGTAATGATGATGCCTACATGGCACCCACTGTAGGAAAAAAATCTCTTTATCTCAAATAGTCCTGCTTCATCTTGGATTACACGTCAAGATGGGTTTTGCGTGTTTCAGAAGGTGGGAATGGGGGTTTGGAGTCTGCTCAATATTTTATATGTTGGGAGAGAGGGTGGGCGGATGTAAAGAAGGTCGTACTGCGTCATATTTTAGTCTTGTCCCCTTAATATACATAATAAGAAAACTTCTAACTTTTCTCCAAATTGTTTCAGTGAACTTGGCATTTGTGAAATTTGCAAATAAAGATCTAGTCAACTGGTTTTTGTTTCTTGTCTTTCTTTTGTTAAAACAGTCGTGGTCACACTTCAAACAGCTTTGGGTTACACATTTGTGAGTCTCGTGCATCAACTTTTGCCGTGTTTTGCATATTGGGCATGATTTTTTCACATGGTACAAAGGACTGCTGGCCATTACCAAAAGCAAGTTACGAAATGGTATGTTCGTTAGTTCGAGAAAAGTCAATAAATAATACTAAAAGTTGTTCTCCAGATCAAGGGTTCTTTTTTTGATCTCGGGAACCCTTAGCTACCTTAACAGACAGTTAAGCAACTCCTCCTAGTCTTGGCATGGATGCTTAATAGAAAAGTGCAGATGCCTACAGACCTATATAGTTAACAATAATTTGTATGCTAAGGAATGTAAGGCACATTGTTATGCATTAACGGATTGCTCGAGTGTTGGACTCAAAATAGTGCTGAAAGGGATGGTGAACCGAAATTTTGATTTAAAAAAAACTGCTGGAGATGTAGGCGGGACGCTACAATCCCTACAACGCTACTAGTAAGGCAATATCTCAAATGGACCGCCGTATATTTGGAAAAAGAAATCGAGATTGAACCAGGCCTACGAGGCGCGTGACCGTCAAGATACGTAGTTTCCTCCTCTCTTCGCTTCGCTCCCTCAAGGCCGCGAGGCGGAGAAGACGCGAGGCCGTTCCCTCTCCTTCTCGGAGAAACATGACGTCAACATTCCTGCCAAATGCGCCTCTTTTTTTTTTTTTTTAAATACAGTCATCCGTTTGAGATATCGCTGTATGAGTGATGTTTCGGTGTTTGTAGCATCCCGTTGCACGCTTTTGCCACGTGTTTTGGGGAATCCAGATTTCGGTTCAGCATCCCTTTAAACATGAATGCTACTTAGGGACAAAAATGACTTTGAAAATTTGGGAACTTGTGAGTGCTAATAAGGCAGAGATAATGAAATCCCACCTTTTAAAATTACTAGACATTTGCGAATAGTGGATTCCGAGTTTGAAGCGGATAGTGGTTTTGGCCGACTATTTTCTAGTTGAATGTCAAATAATTTCTCCGAGCCTTTCCCACTGCACCGTGCTTAAAGGAAAACCCAGCTGAAGTCATGAGGGTTCTTCCCAAGCTTCCAGTTGGCCCTTTCTAAGCTAATTTTAATTTCACCTATATTCATTGTTTATACCTTTTAAGACCATGAACTAACTTGACCAAATAATCACCTTGCTAATCGAGAAGATTTAAAAGTCTGGCTATACGTAAATACTCTTTATTCAATCTCGTATTTGAAAACAAAAAGACAATGCCCTGACAACTTGCAGGTTGTGACGGCATTTCCGCTCAAAGGGCCCCTGAAAAGAGAAAATGTTTTTCTTTAACAGTCTAATTGGGACACGCGTGTCAAAAATAATCTTACGTGAAAAGATGTTTAGTGCGTTATTGACGGCGCGAGATTTATTTTAAATTTTGCACGCAAAGTTCATGACGTCACCATAATGGTCATAGACTCTTTCCATCTCAACCAGATGGTCATACACTCTCTCCACCTTAACGTGATGGGCAAGCCGATCCACCTCTCCTTCACGCGCCCGAAATGCCGTGACCAAGTGGAAAGGAGGTGACTACCGACTAAATTGCGTCTCGCGCCCTCGATATTGCTATAAAGAAATAATGTTTCCTATAAAATTAATTTTTTGACACGTTTGTCCCAATCGGACTGTTTAAAAGAATTTTTTTTTTTTTCAGGGGTTCTTTAACACATACTCCACATTTTAATTTAGAAAAAAAAAAATACTGCAATCATGATATCAACAGTTACGAGGTTTCCGTTTCTTTTTAAATACACCAGGCACACCCGTGCACCATTCCGCCATGACAGTGTGCCTCTTTCCTAAGCACGCGACTGCGATATATATTTTTTTTTTTCTCGAAGTGTTGATTGCGGCGGGCAAGCCCCGCTGAGCGGGCTTCTTATCGAGCACCGGTGCGCTGCAGAGAAGCAGCCCCCGGAGGAAGTGAGCTTGGTGGGTGTTTCTTCTCTGCAGTGCACCGTTGCTCGGTAAGAAGCGCACTCAATGGGGCTAACCCGCCGGGATCAACACTTCGAAAAATACGAATATCCCAGTTCACCGTGAAGCCAATAGGTGACATTCACTTGACCATAGTTTTGTTTAACCCGAGACTGGGGTATTTCGGAAAAGGGGACGAGAAGAAAAAAGGCCACAAGGAGGCGACGTCTCATTGAGACGTCGCCTCCTTGTGGCCTTTTTTCTTCTCGTCCCCTTTTCCGAAATACCCCAGTCTCGGGTTAAACAAAACTATGGTTAACTTCCACCAGCTCGCCTGCACCCTTACAATTTTTTCACATTCACTTGACGTTACTCGCTAGGTTCGCTGGCATCGCCCGCCACGGTCGCCATCTTCGAGGTCTCTTTCTATCGCGAGTGTCGTTTGGCCGGACCTTTTGAGCGTGGTTTAGCAGCATTTTACAACTTTAAAGAGACTTTTTAACCGAAACTAGGGGTTATTCTTATACTTTGGTGCTTTTGAAGCGCCGTAGGAGTCTTTTTTGTGTGTTTTAGTTAGTTTTTGTCGCTATCGGACTCGTTCACCGCGGCCGCGTTGCTCCCTCGGCTCCATGAAGCGCTCCGTGTCGCGCGCCGTGCCCACGGCGGTAGCTCTTGCCAGAACTGATTTTTCTACTTTGGTGCTTTTGTAGCACAGTGTGATTACTCTGTTTTGTTTTGCTAGTTTCTTTATTGTTTTTCTCTAGCGGATTTGCTGCACTACGGCCGTGTAACCGCGTTGCTCCATCGCCTCCGTGTCGTACGTACGTCCTGCCTTCGATGTTCGTTCCTGTGCAGAGACATACCGTGCGGCTCACAGAGTGCGCAGATTATGAAAAATTCGGCGAATTTTTTATTAGTCCAAGCGATTTAAAAACCGCATGTAAGCGATTTGGCGAGCGGCGAGACAAGCGACGGCGACCCGCTTCGCTGCCGCTCGGTCTCTCGCGCGACGAGGCAAACCGCATGAAAGCGACGGGAGCAAACGACCAAGGCCGATGAGCGCTAACTTTTCTAAAAATCCCAAAATCGAGCTACGCGACGAGCGACAGTGAAGCGTGAACCGCATGTAAGCGATTTAGCGAGCGGCGACAGCGACGGGAGTCGGCGACGAGCGACGGAGATTCCTCACGGTCGGTCGTCGCTCGGTTTTTGGATTTCTAGAAAATGTCGCTGATCGCATTGTTCGCTTGCTCCCGTCGTTTTCATGCGGCTTGTCTCGTCGCGCAAGTGACCGAGCGACAGCGAAGCGGGTCGTCGTCGCTTCTCTTGTGGCTGTCGCTCGTCTCGTCTCGTCGCTCGCTTACATGCAGTTCAGCCTTTACACACGCGGTACTCGGCGGCAACAAGGAAACTAAAACGGCCCGCCCCCGAGATAAACCTTTTTCTTTCTTGTTCAACGAAGCTTCTTCAACGATATGAAATTGTACGACCGCGTAGCCTAGCCAGTCAAACCGCGACCTCGAAGATGGCGGATCGACGGTGGCGCTCCCTGGCAAAATCGAACCTGCAGGCTCAGTGAATACCACCTATATCAAATAGCGTATTATTCGAAACAACTATTCGAATATTCGCACAGTCCCGAGAATTATAGTGGTGTGCGATTAGTGGTTCTAACCGCATAACGCTTCGTCGTCTATAACCTTCGCAGTGCTAGCAAAATCCAGGACATAGCGGCTCTTGCAGTGTTACATGACGCTGCGGTATTCGATTCGAAAAACTTCTCGTATACTCCCGTTAATAATGCTTCAAATGTTAGGGGAAAAACATCAAATCAGCTTCGCCCAAATACAGTGTTTGCATTTTCAAATATATGGCTTTCTTTATATGTGTAATAGTGTAGGTGTTCCTTACCAATGGTGATAAAATGCTGGGGCACGTATTTTTGGGTACTTCCGACATGCTAGAATTTGAGCACATGTAAACAGGGCCACGAAAGCACATGGATGAAGAAGTATACTGGGCCGTTCATCACGTCCCATCTCCTCAATGGGATTCTGAAACGATCCGTGAGCCGGGAGGGTCATGCTGCACTTTGGAGGGGTATCCAGGCAGCCAGAAAGACGTATGGCACGCGGCCGGTCGTACTCCTACTCCTCGCTGAAGACTCAAGTTCAACTGGTGCCTCACTGATTGCATGAGAGTTGGCAGAACGTTGATGCACCACTCGTCTTCGTCAGCTGAACGCTGCAAGGAACACGAACAAATAATTCACGAGCTTGAATGGATGGAGAAACGTTTATTAAAACCACATTATTCGCAACTCTAGCGCGTCGCTCGCCCTCTCGCGGATGAACGAAGAACCAGAGGAGCGGGGACGGCGGCGGAGACGGTGGCAGGGATTATCGGTCTTGGTGCTGCTGTTACCGCATGGTTTTGATCGCCGTGTTCGTGCTTCGTGCAGTTTTAACAACAACAACAACAACAAAAAGGCGAGTACGTTAAATTGAGAATTGTCTTGTTCCGGTCCGTGGCATTTGAAAATCAACATGTTCGTTTTCTTAACGCACGTCAACAACTCCGTCACCTGTGATATGCTCTTGCCCTGAAATCCAGAAATCGGGAAAGTGTGCTCGGTGCGCCGAACACATCGTAGAAGAAACATTTAGATGATAACTCTCTGTCCACCGCGGCGACCACATTATGTTCGGCGCACCGAGCGCTTCACTCGCGCGGGGATAGGTGGCGCCCAAGTATGGGATCCCTCCCAAATCGACCGCTCCGGTTGTTTCTCCCAGCGGTGGTCCCGCATTCCCTCGCTCACCGCTTCTTGTTATACCTCACCGCCGCCACACCGCCACCAAGGCGCCGGAGTCCGTAAATCTGTGTTATCTTCCTTCTTCTTCTTCGTCTTCTTCTTCTTCGGGTTAAGGCTCACGTTAGTGCATGATGGTTGCACTTGTGATAGACACAGCCCCAAAGCAAAACACGAGGGTAGCCACTGGCCGCACACCACCACCACACCGTGAAAAAGGCGAGCACGCTACGCCGCCGACACCGTGGCCGCCGAGGAGGGACCTCAAACCTCAGCGGCCTTCGCGGCGGCATGGAACTGACTACTGGTTCGAGGCTAGCTCCAAACACAATCTGGTCCACGTGATCTGGTCGCTCGCTCCCCACGGGAAGAGCGGCCAGAGTCATCACCCAAATATCTCTTACACTGTGGCCCAACATAATGTGGCCGCCGCGTCAGACAGAAAATCATCACCTCAATGTGTTCCTTCCGCCGTGATTCGTGCATAGCCCGTCATAGTCCCGGCAAACACACTAAGAACTATTTTCATATAGTCACAGTCTATTCCTGTATTACATTATCCTCATTAAAACACGCTTGCCACTTTGTTTTCTCATCTTTTCTGCCCAACATAGTGTGCATTAGCGATAGAGGTGGAGAGCTCTTTCTCGCTATGAATGCTATCTAATCGCGGCAAGCGCGCGCTTCCTCGGGTGACAGCTGACGAGGCTCTATCTATATACGGAATCCGCGCTGACACCGAACCACAGGCGCGGTGTCGCTAGCGCAGGATACTCCCTCGTCAGCGATGGCGAATGCTTCGGCTTCAATAAGGGTGCTTCTGACACTCTTCTTGCTTCCTGGTAAGTAGCGCAGCGTGCCGATGGCGCGGCTTTGTCCTCGCGATCCTATTTTTATGCTTTCGGCGCTTCTTTACGCTCAAACTGCGAAGTAGTTCCCTCAAGCCGCGGTGACACCGCGAATCCATGGAACAAAGGACAGCCTGCACACACTAGGCTCGTTCGATTTACCTGCACTTCATGCACCGGTGCGGTAAAGTGTAGGACAGAGTACTTCCGGTCTTGTCTCAATACAAATAGCGGAAGGACATTGCCCTACACTTTTCTTTACCGGTGCAGGAGATGCAGGCAAATCTACATGCTAAACTAGCCGACTGTCTGAGGTCTTCCATGTATGACGGTCACATTGGATATACGAAAATCGTCTGCAGACAGGTTCGGAGCATACATATGAATAGAGCGAACATGCTCCCAACATGCTTGAGGCGCAGATAATGACGTCACCATGTTGGCACCGAACACCGCGTCTTTTGTATGATGTATGACCGGTGACTGCGGCCTTACGAATACGCGTGTTGTCCGTTGGTTCTCGGAAAGATAAAGTACCGTCACTGACACTTTAAAGGGTTACTCAACCGAAAACTCGAGCTCACAAAACAGGACTGCAGCGATAGGCGGGACGCTGCAGAACCAGAAAACACCACTCGTACAGCGAACGATATCTCAAACCGATGGCCGTATTTATGGGGAAAACAAATGCGCGACTAAACATAACCGACGAGGCCCACGAGACATGTGACGTCACGATTCTCATTCCCTCTCCTCCTCGCTTCGTCCTGTCGAGCTGGTGAACCCTAGCGAGGAGGAGAGAAGCAAAGCCGCTTCCCCTCATCCTCAACGTAAAGTGCCACATGGATTTCAATATTCATGTCCTTTTTATGTATCATGCAGATTACGGAATACAATTTTCAGCGCTGAAAGTAGGAACGCTTTTTGAAGTTCTAAATAAACTCCAAACATGTTGTCTTCTTAGGTGAATGTGTGGATTTCTATCCATAACTTTGTCAAGTTTGTTTTAGGAAAAAAAATTTCCCGGGAGGTTGTTTTTTTTTTTTTTTTTTTTTTATGGACATAGATTGTAAGCGTGTCCTAAAGTAGAACGACCTTCAACTGCATGTTTTTAGCATGATATTAAGCCGTATAATCAGCCCCAAATGTGGGTTTTGCCGCTTTTGTTTTTAGTTAGAACTACGCTTTAAATGTGTAACGTATCCAGTTATCAGTTGGGTTTTACCCCAAGCACGGTTCTACCAGTCTGGGAGATAACTTGCAAGCAAAGGTTGCAGGGTGCCTTGAACTTGTTGCAAGGAATATTCCAATCATAAAGAGATAGCGCTTTTTTCAATTTATTTACGCCATGCTGCAGATGGCTTTCCACCATCCAAGCAGGAGATGGTTACATTAGGTTTCACACAGAACAGTCAATATTTGTGGCATGCATACAATCGGTTACAGAATATGTGTCCACACAATGGACGCATATTCTAGCACTGGTCGAATTAAACTTTTATACGCCGAAAGTTTTACCGAAGAGTTACATATTCACAGCTTCCGTCTTAGGTAGCACAACTTTTTGTGAGCCTTCGCTGTTATATGATCTATGTAAGTTTCCCAATTTAATTTTAAATTAAGATTTAGGCCCAGGTACTTTACCTCGTTTACAGTTTGGATGCATTTGTCTCTTACGTGGTATGCAAAGTTAAGAGGGGATTTCTTGTATGTTACTGCGAGAGCGGATGTCTTAGAGTAATTTGCCACCTCTCACACCATTCGGCAATTTCGCAAAAGTTTTCGTTAAGCTACTCTTGATCTAACGTGTTTCTGACAGTTCTATAAACAACGCAGTCATCGGCAAACATTTTCACAGTCACACTCGTGTCAATATTGTCGGCTATGTCGTTGACATAAATTAAAAATGAGTGGTCCTCAGACCGCCCCTTGTGATATGCCAGACAGCACGTCAAGATGTACTGATTGACGTGCGCTGATTTCAACGAATTGCACTCTATTTTTCAAATAAGCAGCGATCCATGTCACCAGACGACGAGCAATGTAAACCCGCTGCAATTTTATTACCAGTAGCTGATGCGGTACCCTGTCGAAGGCCTTGGATAAGTCTAAAATATTGCATTAATTTGTTCCCTGATATTTATTGCATGACCAAAATCGTGCACTACTGAAAGAAATTGAGTAGTGGTAGAATGGTTTTTTTTTCAAATCCATGTTGAAAGTTGACTAATATGTTATGAGTTTCTAAAAATAAAAAAGCTTATGTGACTGGCGATGACATGTTCTAGCAACTTACACCAGGTGCTAATAAATTATATTGGTCTGTAATTATCAGCAAGCAGTTTGTTCCCATCCTTATGTACAGGTACAACTTTTCCACAAAGCCAGTCGGGTTGATGACATCCCTGATCTAAAGAGGTTCTGAACATGACGTATCTTATTGAGAAATCATTTCTGGCTTAACGTTTGAAAAAAGCATTCGGGATGCCATCAGGACCACAGGATTTTTTTATATCAAGGTTTAAAAGTAGATGACGTATGCCGATGATGTTCGTCTATATCTTGCATTATTGGGAAAAGAGGTATTGATTCAATAGTTTCCTCAAAAGTGCATCGCGGACTAAAAACACCGTGAAAGGTGCTGTTAAACTCATTAACAATCTGGTAGGAGCCAGGAATTGCATTTCCATCAACATGAAGTTGTTCAATAGAATTTCTATTGCCCGACAAGTACCCCCACAACTTTTGAGGCGCTTCTTCTATGAAGTTTACTAACGTTGTTTAACAAAAATAAAGGCGCGCCGTTTTTTTTTTTTTTTTTTTTTTTTTTTTTTTTTTTTTAAGAGTTATGGTGGGGGAAGATATGACATCAGCATTTTTACAATTTGCTTTTCCTTTCTTAGATAATACCCTTTTAAGATGTATTATATATCTCGTTATCTAGGCCGTTCTGATTTTCTCTTTTACTCTTTTGGTAGTTATTTGACTTATTTGTGAAGGCGCTTTGCAGTGAAGTTTTTTGAAACCATTCTATAATGTTTAAATGTCACCCTCCGTCTCAAGTCGCTGAAGTTCAAATCAAGAGTACCTATAATAGCTTCATTATCTGCAGCAACAAAATTAAAGACGCGTTTACTAACGTGACCCTTATTTACTGGGCAAAAAATAGTCGTAAGAAAAACAAGCTTGTGGTCAGAAATTCCATCGTGAACGCTGACGTCAGTGTCCTCTGGAAAGTTTCCAACAAAAATGAGGTCCAGTGTGTTATTGCTATTTTGGGAAATACGAGTACCTTCAGTAACAAGCTGAGTCATTTAAATTAAGGATCAATTCGAGTTGTAAGTTGCAATTTTTTACCTCAGTTGAAGCCTGGCTGTAAAGGCGACCAGTTAATTGGCGGGAAATCACCCGCCAGTATAGCTATTATTTTAGGTTTGTATATTTGTTGCATGTGAAATTAAATGCTCTCTGGAAAGGACTCGGCGGAAGATGGGGGCCGATAGACAACACCTGCGAGAGCCGAAAACCCTTTGTAGTCGATTTGACATCATACACTTTCATTGTCAGTTATTCCGTTTAAGATAACGCATGAGAGTTCCATCTTTACTATCAAGGCAACTCCCCCTCCTCGAGAGCCAGGATCGCGTCTGATTATTTTTTGAGTGGGGGGAGTAACTTCGGCATCAAAAATATCTGCTGATAACCATGTTTCTGTGATTGCTATTATCTGCGGGTTGTACGTAAGTATAATTTCTTCGAGCTCGTGAACTTTATTGATGCTACTTAGGGCATTTAGTAGTACAAGACGTAACAGCTTGAATTTAAGTCAATCGAAATCGTTCCCACGTTTTTAAGAGAGGATGCGCTTTAGACAGTTGTTTTGCTCGTCCCATTTATAGAGGTCGTCAACAACTCGTAGTTTATCATAGTCTAGCACTACTTTACGTCCCCTGGCTTTGAAGTCGCCAGATTTGGACCAAAGCTTGCTCCTTTTTGCCAGAGTACTCTTACAAAAGTCATGATTGACTGAGATTGTGGTTCCTTTCAATTTATTAAAATTGTTTAGTACCTTAAGTTTTTTTTTTGTTATATTCCAAGAAATTTATAATCACAGGCCGCAGTTTTGTCTTGTTACTTTTTTCCCCTATGATGTGGACTCTTTTCACAGAGCTAACAGCCACTCCAACCTTCTGTCCTATCATGTCCTCGATTATCTGGCGTCTTAATGTTTCGGTGTTTTCACGGTCGGGCTCGGGAAACCCGAAGATCACGAAATCGCGGCGTCAACTCCTATCTTCTAAGTCGTCTGGGCGCTTTTGGTGGAGCTGGAGGTCATTTTAAAAGATGTGACTTCCCCCTGCAGAACTCGAGTCTCTCCATTATTCTTACCAGCACACACAAGTGTTTCATCTTGCCCTGGACATCAAGGGTGCTTTTGAGAACATCTCCCACCAAGCCATCCTTCAAGGACTAACCTCTATCGATTTCGGACAACGAATCTACGACTATATCAAGGTTTTCCTCACCGGCCGTACTGCAACTATCGGCATCGGACATCTCCGCTCGAACACATTTAATACCATCGCCAAAGGCACCCCTCAAGGCTCCGTGATATCGCCGCTTCTATTTAACATCGCTATGAGGGACCTTCCCCCACTCTTGCAAAATATCCCGCATCTCAGGCACGCAATCTACGCGGATGACCTCACCCTATGGACCCCTACGGGATCCATGGGCGAGCAACAGGAATCCATGCAAAGCGCCATCGAAGAAACTCATCAATATTTCAGCGCCAGGGTCCTTGAGTGTGCCCCGGAAAAATCCGCCCTCCTTACTCTCTGAACGAAGACTGCGCACCAACGCAACCGAAGCATCCCGGACCCGGAGATCACCATAGCAGGAAAACCCGTCCCTAAAGTTCCCCACCTCCGCATGGCTTGGCCTCACGATCCCCAAGAACGGATCAGGTCTCCACACCATTGAACCGCTTCAAC